TCTCCCATATACTAGAGGAGCTCTGTGACAGCGAGGAATCTTTATCTGAAAGCATGAGTTCTGTGTATCAAATAAGGTTTGTCTCTTTGTTAAATTACTGGCATCTGGTGATACACATCTTTGAGTTTTTAATTGTGATTCATTTTATTTTATCTCTTTATCAGTTTTATTTTTATTTAGGCATGTATATGATGGACCTAACTGTTAGACCTGTTCCCCCGTGACCAGTTTCATGAGAAGATTGTTGGGAGGTACACAGAAGGTTTTCATTAGGGAATTATTTTTCATGCAGGAAGATATGTGACAAAAGATGATTAAACATTTCCCTTTTCTGGCTCACTTACTTAAAATGCAAAAAAAGATACGCACGTAGGAACAACAAATAACGTTGCGCACTTAACAGGCGTGACCTTATCAGTTTATCAGTGATGAAAAGAATCAGCAAGACTTTAAACAGTGATGAGCTGAAAATTGTTGATGCATAAACTAACAGGGCTGAGCCACTTTTCCGAATCAATCAATAGTAATCTTTATCAATTTGGCACTGAATATAAAGTCCAGCTGAGGCTGATGGGAAAGCTATCTGTTTCTCAGGCGTTCTGTGAGGACGACTGAAAGTTTCAATCAGGTGCTAGAACGTTTTAGACTAAAGAATCATAGTTGTCCATGCAACAAACATCGACATATTTCTCTCTGGTCATAGGAGATAGAGCAATTGTCGTACCATCCGGGCCCTCCCTTCACATTGAAAACAGGACAGCTAAAGGACAAAAACCCTGGTATCATTCTCTCGTATATGTGACAGATATAAGATTTGTGCCACTGTCTGGTACACAGAAGTCTTCTGAAGCTGTGCTATACCGTGAAAGCGATGACACCTTTACTGAATAAACAATTACCCCAATTCCTTCTAACTGTCTCTGGTTTTAACCAGTAGCACCAAAATACATTTAAAAAAGAGAGAGAAAATCTGACCTAATTGGACGTTACTGTTCCCTAAAAGCTGTGGTCCGGTGGTTTAAAGGTGACATTGGATGTTTTCACTATAAACCTGGGTGCAGTAGCAGGACTGAGGCTCAGTATATGAAGTATATGAAGTATGAAGAGTAATGGTACTGAAAAGCTCGGACGGATTTAGTGGCTCGATGCACTCGGCCTGTGTCCGGTCATTTCTGAGGAAACGTCACAAGAAAACAGGTTGCATTCAAATTTTGCTATTGATAACAAACCTAACGTTGTGTATTGTAGATCAGAGCAAAAGATCGGTCACCTGGCACGTTTTGACCTCAGCAGTGTTGTTCTGTTACTAATAAGATCTTTCCGGGTGACTGAGCATGAACCCTCTGATCAGTGCGCTCCCTCCAGCTGAACTGCGATAAGATTCACTCTGTATTTATGACTTTAAAGTTGCACCGTGTAACGGCACGCTCGCGCACGGGAACAGAAATAGAGCTAGTGTTCTTGTGTGATTATGCATGTAAGGGGGGTGAGGATAGGTGTCTGGTATTAGGCCACTTCAGTGCACAGAGTTAATGTCCTAAGATGGAGCACGAAGACTTAATCTTATCTTGATTCCTGTGAACCCCTTAAATAAGGCGGTGAATTCTCTCGGCACAGTTTAATTCTACTACCGCATTGATTTTTTTTCCCCCTCTGTTTTTTTCCCCCCCTTTCAGTCATGTCAAGAAAGCAGACCGCTTGAAAAAAGAATCACATACACCCACACAAAGGAGCAGCTCTGTATTACTGCAGGGTGATATACAAGTTAGAGAGCAGCTCATGTGGAGCAGCATGTGCAAGGACACCTTGAAACATTTGACTTTAAAACAAATCCAGGATAGTGACTTTAACAAATACAGTGAGCCAGGATGTCCGACTAATAATGAATTAAGGAAACAAAGATTAGTCGGTTAGAAACTTGAAATGTGTATTTTCTTATTCCTAAAACCTCACCAAAATCCTGTTTTAATCAGAGGTTTAGGTGTCATTTTTTATTTACCAGTCAAATCAAAGTCAGATTTTCGCAGTGAAATATTAATGACCGTTATCCCGTCATCCAGAAATGTAGATGCAGGAGCAACTGTCACAAACACGGCCTCTTTGTGCAGCCGGCACAGACGCGTCTGCCGTTTGGTATTTGGCTCATAATAAGCGAAGGAACAGCTGCTGGGAACAGGAAACATAGAACAGGGAAGTCTTGAGTTGTATGACTTCTTTTTTGACAGCTCCTCCTGCTATAGGAGGATCTGTCCCTTTAGGTTTTAGTTTTTTCTTTCCTCTTTTTTTTCCTGCACATTTTTTGGTGAAAACGCAGATGCAGAAAAATCTCCTTTCCCACTATGACCAGTGACTATTCTGTTTTGTTTTTAGCCTGCATCCTTACCCTATACAGAACCATATGTAAACAGCTGATGCCCAGTACAAGCTATGATTTATTTTTATAATCACAGGCAGCATCCAAAAATAAAATAAAAAGATTTTAAACAATAACGAGCGCAGTTTTGCCTCTCGTTTGTCCCAAATAAATCCCCAAACCCTATCTGAACAATAGCGGTTTAATGGGTATTATCCCTCACTTGTTTTTAGAATGAATGAAAATGTGATGCAGTGGAAACAGACTACCGATATCCCCTCTTTTTTTTCCAGAAATGATCAAACGATTTCTCCAAGCGCGTCGTACAAATTTGTCAATTCCTTGAGGGGCAACCTAATTATGACAAAAAATGTCCAAACGCTCGCAATTCCCACCCCGTCTTCCAAAAGTCCTTTAGCGGCTCTGAGCCACTGTAATCCCTTCCGGAGAGGCAGACTGTTGCCCGGGCAACCTCGGGCCTACCGCCATGGCAGCTGTAACCGTGTTGAGGAGAAACAGAATACCAGGGCGGACAGGTGTGGCTGGAGTCTCTGAGATCACCGGAGGTCTCCCGGCTCTGAGTGGGATGTCGTTACACGTGTGGAGCGCCACTAACAAGCCTCTCGCACACAAACACTGTCACCACGCCGCTTCTCCGCGCCGCTATCTGACCTGCTGGGTTTTGCTAATGATCTGTGTGTCGAGCTAAGACCGGCACATGGCTTTTCTTGCCACCTCGGAGCAGGAGGTCTGCGCCACGTGGCCACGCGTTTATTTATTTATTTTGTTTGTTTGGATTCTTGTGCGAGTATGACAGGTGACTCATGATCTGGGAAAAATGGTTAACCTGTTATATGGCTGATTATTGGGACACAGAACAAGAAGTCAAACGAGCTGTTGGTGCCTTTTGTGCCGACCGGGTGCTGAAATTGGGCCTAAAAAATAGTCATGCCTGCGTTTGGAGAGCAGCAGCCTAGAGAGAGCGTCCATTTGTGAGCAGGACCATGAAGGAAAGATAGTTCTGTTACTGAGTCAGTGTGGCGAGGCACAAAATGTCTATTTCAGGGCTTGCTTTAAGTAGGGTGAGTCACCGGGCTTTTGGAGCTCTCGAGGCTGCATATGTGTGTGTTTGTGTGTTTGTGTATGTGTGTGTGGACATGTATTTTCATGTGATAGCATTGATTCTATTTTTTTTTCCCCCCCGCCCTCTATCTCCGTCACACACGTGCCTGCCCGGCGGGTGCAGGTCTGTGACAGGTTAGGCGTTCTGGGTCGGAGCCATCCTCTCCCCGTCTTTTTCCTCGGCTCCGAGCAGCAGGCTGGCCTTTGTGCGGATACAGGCAGCGACTTCAATCTGTTTGGCAAATACCGAGATAAGTGAGGCTTACCCGTTGCCTCAGCAGAAAGTGGTCCAGACCAGGCCTACGAGTGCAAAGATGTAATGTACTAAGGATAGGGCAAGGCTTTAAAAAAAAAAAAAAAAAAGAAGATGATGAAAGAAAAAGGCAAATATTAACATTTTGATGCTATTTCGAGATAGTGTGGTGTGAAGGACGCCAGAGTGACAAATAGACAATGAGCTGTAGGAAAATGGTTAGATGGAGGGAGAAAAGCAAATGAGAGAGGGAAACCACCTCCCGCTGTCAGTGAAATGTCAGTGGAACCCTGGGGATGCATTGATTAACCTCTCCACTTCTAACCTGCCTTCACCCCCTCCACCGAAGGCAAAAAAACACACACACTGGTGTATAAACATGATTTTAATTGGAAGACTTCACAGTGCCTGATAAGTGACATTAACCTCTTTTGTCTCCATTTGATTGGCTTTTTACACTCCCAGTAGCCAGATTTAGCTGTACTCAAGTGAAGAATGACACAAAAAGCAACAACGATTCTGTTTTACTTTGACCAGTCAGTTCCATTCAAAATTGCTTTTCTCTTATTGATTCTCACAACCTTTTTTCCCTGGAAAATCACTTCGCTAATTGCAAGATGTCAGATGGAAATGCAGCCGATTTTTACAGTTCTGGAAGCTATTTTCCAATTGATCATTTTAGCATTTTTAAATGATAAGGCCTGATCATGGTTGTGGTTTTGGAATGTTTTTTTTTTCATTATTCTGTAGTTTGTTTGGCTTAGGAACATCCTCGTTTCTCAGACTTATGCTCAATGTTCCGTGTCAATTTTTGATTTGTTACCCCTTCACGTTAGGATTCAGTTGCTTTAAAAATGGAGAGCCGCTGTCTGAAGCAAGGCACAAACATCCTGGTTTATAAATACCCGTGTGCGTTTGAAAAGGTGTATGCAGGGTTTTTGCGCGTTCACATTTCTTTTCGGATCTGGGCCCCCTTATGAGTCATTCCGCATTGCAGAATCTGTTTGAAAAGTGATGCATCTGGTGGGCTCTGAAACATTCAAGTCATCTTTTTACATTAATTCACAGATCTATCTGGTGGAATTCATGTATTTAATGTCCAGTCAGTCCTCATTTACCCATAATGTTTCATAAAACAGACAAAGGTAGGTCATCAGTATGTCTTTTCAAAGGTTGGTTTAAAATTCCAGGTGTTAAAATTTAAACAACTTATGCAAAAAATGTGTGTAACAGCAGTAAAGGTGTGATGTGACATGTGACTAACATCTTAAGTATCTCGTCTTTTCTGCTTTGCCCCTCACAGTTTGCTCCCAGTTCTCCAAAGGAGTGTACGCCATCATCGGCCTGTATGACAGGAAGACGGTCAATATGCTCATGTCCTTCTGCGGAGCGCTGCACGTTTGCTTTGTCACACCGTCCTTCCCTATTGAGACGGCCAACCAGTTTGTCATCCAGCTGAGGCCTGAGCTCCAGGATGCTTTGGTCGGAGTTATCGAACACTATGGATGGACTAAGTTTGTCTACATGTACAGCTCTGACTCCGGTAGGAAACCCAGCCTCTTTGTTTCTCTTCATACTCTGTGGTCAACTTCACCAATTACAAAAGCATGTGTCCGTGAAGTGGGCGAGAATTCTTCGAGTGTGTGTGTATTTCGCTATCTAAAACGTTTGATAGGAGGGTCTTCATATTTCAATGGCGACAGCGGTGGTCTTTGTACAGAGGGCCCGGAAAAAAGAAACACTGACCAGCGCTGACTGCATGATAAATTACACAATGGAAGGAAGAGATGAAGCTTTTCTCTGAGCATGGCCTTAGCCTGTGTTGCTGCCCTTCTTTTGTCGCTAGTAGAAAAGGCACTTTAGTGACAGTCCTGCATAGGCAGATAAAAATAAAGCAGAGCACCTGTCAGCCTCTGTGCCATCTGTCCCAGGTGTGGGTTTTGGAGCATGACTGAGATGGGTACATATTTTTGTGTTGGTGCCAAAAACAAGCATGCATTTGGACAGACAAATTATATCCACTTCATACACCCATATGTACATATATTTAGGCCTTTTGTTCTGTGTGTTTGATGGCAAAACCTTTCGTAGATATTTTTGGGGAGCGAATGCATGTCCTTCGTGTGAGCCAGTGGAATCCATTTCAATATCACTAGGTTTCTTAGAGACTTCAAAATTAGCCCACTTTTGTGGCTATTTTAGGTCCTCTTGTAATATAACATTTTATTTATTTTGAATTTGCATGGGATGTTTGTATGGCTATTTGCACATAGCATTTATACTTCGTTCGTTTTTTAATAATGTGTCAAAATGTATTTTTTTAATGCATTTGCAGTGTTGTCCATAATGCTGTCAATTTTATTCGGACATGTTTAAGTTGTTCATCCATTTAACTTTGATTTTGGAGTCACAAGATTTCAAGTATTTTATCTATTACGCATTTTATCTGCCCATATTTTTTCTTCTTCCACCTTTTCTGCTCTCTCTTATGGTGCAGCATGTCCTAATAAATGTGATAAATGTGCTTCCCATCTTTTTTTACTTTTAAAAGCCAAGAATGGGGAAACAAATTTGATTGCCCATTAAACTCATCATAAACTATATTCAGGAAATGATTTCCTAAAGTGTTATTTCCTATACTGTTGATTGCCTGGTGCCCAGGTCTCCATGTACTGCCTGTGGCCAGAACGGTGCTTGTGACACCCCGATTCCATTATGATTTTATTCACTTCCAGAATGTCTTTGGAGGACAATTTGTGCCTTGGTCAACCCTTCCTGCCTTTCTGTCTGACAGGCTGTGTTTTGTACAGGTGCATCAGGCACATTTAAAAACCGGAGACTGTATTTGATGCACAACCACTGACTCAGTAGTGGAAGAAAGAATAGACAGACGTTACCCAGACTGATTAATATTGTAATGCATCAACCACACTGGGAACAAAATGAAAGACAATTTGGCTTTGGGGGGAGATACGAAAAACTGGGTATAATTTCCAAACCACTGTTTTAATGCAGAAAAGCGAAAATTTCCTCCTTAAACGTCAGCAATCCTAAAACTTTTTATTTGCAAGAGCCTGATTTTCTCTTTTTTTCTGTGACCTTCAATTGATAAATAAATAAATACATAAAGGAATGCATCTGAATAAAAACTGAAGCATGCAACAAGAGCTTTGATAAAAGTGATCTCAAGTTAAGAATGAACTGTTTAAAATGAAGGAATCAGAAAACAAGTAAAAGGGTAAAATGAGTTAAGTGTTTCCTCTTGGAAGCAGCTATGTTGCATGATGCTCTCTATGATGCTGGAACCTTTTGCTGACACCTAAAATTAACTCCATTCAAAGATAGCTGACCTTGTGGTCTTTTGCACAACCGTGATTAATTATCTCCTGTGTTCCAATGCCTATCATCAGTTTCACAGCCACTATTTAATCTGCCAGCTCCAAGAACTGCAATTACTCCCTCGTTAGCGACAGTGAAAAGAGAGGGGCCCCGTCACAGAGGCCGTGCATCACTGTGTCCCTCTCGAACCACCCTTTACCAACTTCTGCGTGAAACATCCACTCGACGTCCTCCCATTTTTCTCCGGGTTTCTCGTTTATTTACATGTTGCAGTCATATGTGGAGGGAAGGCACCATCCATCTTCTCTTTTCTTAATGACCCTGTGTCAAATAAGCGCTGCGAATCGCCCGGAGAGCAGCTGGTGTGCATGCTAATCGGGCCAAGCTATCATCTGTCATGCCCTGAGTCTGCATTTTCTCATTCTTCTCCTGACAAAAGCCGTGTTGTTGTCTCCGTGGATTTAAGGATTTCGGGAATTTGTATGTATTCGCTCATGAAAGGCCTGTCTGAACATAAGCAAACAAGCACGCTGGATCAGTGCAACACATGGCATGTGGACTCACGGCGGATTCGGCAGTTCGTTTACATTTTGTAATTGCTGCAATTCATTTGTATAATGGCTGCCAGTTTGATTCGGGTGAAATGAGTTTCTTTACTCTGCGGAACAACTGTGACTGCCAACTTGAGAGGAATCTGATTGGTGGACTGCCAGCAGCAAAGATGTACAACACTGAGTCAGATTGTAAATCAGAGCCGGAGATCAATGTTTTCCATTATTGCTTCTTATTTCCTGCCTAAGCATAAGCCCCGAGCTCAGTGGCTACTGTCCGTTTCCTGTGATGCTCAAGTGTCTCAGCAGCGTATCGGCGACAGTCTAATCGAGCAGCACCACCTGTAGTTGCTGCTTAAAGAACACAAAGCTGGTTGTAAAAGTGACGTCTGATGATGATGCAAGAGCTGATTATTTGTTAGCATGAAAGCGGTGATTATTTAGCCCTGTGGCACACGAGCTGCAAAAGCACACCTGCGAGTGTCAGTGTGCTTAATGGACTGTCCCGCTTGTTACACTTTATCACCAGAGCTACAGGGGGAGATTCTGATGGATAAGCTTATCCAAAGCCGTATGGGTTTCTGCACAGCTTCTCCTTGGTTCACAAGTTTTTTAATTTGTTTCCAGCTCATACCGTAACCCAGCTACTCGGTGTGTGAGTCGAGCCTGAATGGAAGCTGTGCAGAAGGCTGCCTTACACCATGTAGAAAGTCATTAATTGCTTTCTGTATATCTACACTGCAGAGTCATCCATCTTTTATGTAGAAGTATTTGTTCTTAATGCCTGAATTCCATGCCCTCTTCCAGTTCCAAAAGCATGTGTTTTATATCTCTTTTGACCCAGGCCTGTCAGTTCTGCAGAAGGTCCTGGACACAGCTGCAGAAAGGAACTGGCTGGTGACGTCGGTCAATGTGGAGACCATGACGGAGCCCTCCTTCTTGAAAGTGTTCCAGGACTTGGACAAGAGGAAGGAGGGACAGATAATTATTGACTGTGAAACTGAGAGGCTCACTGGCATTCTCAAAAAGGTAAAACACAAACGATAAGCTTATGTTGTAAAATAACACTCCAAATGTAATTCAAGTTTTATTCATTTTGTCTTAAAAAAGATATATTAGAGGCATAAAAAAAACAACAGTTCATAAATAGGCTGGACACATTTTAAGCGGATGAATCAGAGGGAAAAAGAAAAAAGACAGGCTACAAATGGAATTTCAGCATTGGCTATTGGGACTCTCTGGTGTATCAAGGACAGGAAGGATAAATAACACACCAACGGTATTTGGAGCCAGCAGTTTGTCTGTGATAGGATCATCACTTACTCACCTCTGCACTGTTAAAGGGAAAAAAGATCTTGGCACCTCAGTTGACTGTGCAGCAACTCTCTCCAACAGACAGAGATCTTCCAATGATAGCTTAGCAACAGTAACTAGGCAAGACAGACCTGTCCGACTCTGGATTTCTCCAGGTGATGAAGTGGGGTACATGGGAGTTCATGATGTGTCTCCTAATTTGTGTTGTCTTTGGAAGTAAAAAAAAGTTTGCCGTAATCTTTGCACTTAAAATCCTCTTTAACAAGTGGTACCAAAGTATTAACATCAAACTGCATGTTACCGAACCCAGTTCTGGGCCTTTCCTAAACAGTTAAATTTTTTAAAATCTTTTCTTTTAGCAAATTAAATCACATTTCTTGAAAAAAAACACCTTGTAGTGCTTTGATTAAAATGGATAGCATCTATTTTGGTTTGTTTAAGTTCTCATCCATATCTCAAACCTGCATAGAACTTTAATTTGCATCGGTGTCATTGACTTGTTTTTAAAAGGCCGGCATCTGCTCTTAACTGTACACTTTCTTGACTTACTGCTTTAAAATGTCCCTGTGGTTATGAGGATATGAAACTATGCAGTGCATCAACATGTCTCTGATCATTCCATCCCACAAAATCTTTGTGTTGTGTCAAAGGAAATGAACATGGTCATGCCAAATAGTGACTTTTAAGCATTTTAACATGACACAAACTTTTACTGGCGGGCAGATGGTACATCTAACGCCACCTCAGATGCTGGATAAAAAGCTCCCTCATGACATCATTGTGCTGTACTGAATGAGCTTACAACACACTTACACACAACACACTTGCAGTCAGTCAGCTTTCATGTTGTTGTCGAGCCCAAATCCCGGTCATTTCCACAGCCATGGTGCACAGCCGGAAGAACGAGAAGAAAAAAACTAGTCTTGTTACAGCTGTGGGAAAATGCTAATTCAGCCAGACTTGGCTTTAAAAGGATGAGTTGAAGTCTTGATTAAAGCTATTTCCGGCCAGTGGATTTGAAGCTGACTGCTTTTTAGCTTCTGATTTTGTCTCAGGAACAGGCCAGTGTAGAGAGAGGCGTTTCAGTTAATAAAGAAATTGAAACGTGTGACATACAAGAAGAGACTGTAGCAGCACAGACGCTGGAAAGTGACTTTGAAGAGCTCTTGACCTCGGTGGGATCTGCCATGATCAGATACCATCTCTTTTTAGACAGGGTGAAAAGTTGCAAATGGCCAGATGGGTATGACAGAGGATCAGTTTCAGCGTGTTTTCTTAGAAAGAACCAGGAAAAAAGACTAATTCATTTGCTGTTGAACTCTAAATTACTTTTAGAGAAACACCATGCATTGAGAAGCCGAAAATCTTTCCAAACACGCAGACGAATTTGCAGAGGACGGTTCAGGCACAGATGGCTCAGCTGATAAAGAAGTCAGACACTCTGAGGATGGCCAGCGAGGAGAAAGCACAAGGGCTGAAGAGCACTGAGGAGGAGATTCACTCCAAGAGAGAGGAACTGAACACACACTTAGGACACACATACACACATCAGCTACCTAACGCCAAGATTATTTGTATTTTTTGTACTCCAACAATGCTTGTCACCTGTATTACCACATGCATTTGGCACGGCCTTCTTTTGTGCATTTATGTGTTTCGTGATATTTTTTTCTTAATATTCATTCATAATGGTCTCAAAAATGGATTCAAAAGTCTTTGATTATAGTGGAAGTGGTAGAAACTGTAAAAGTTAGTGTTTTTTCTAAACTTCAACACGAGAAGTCAACAAGGCATAATACTGCTTGTTGATTTAAGTCTTTTTTACTTTGGTTATCCTTTTTTTCTATTCAAGTGCACTATTTCAAATAAAAAGCAAAACAAACACAAAGCCTTACATCCACCATGATCAGTCTGTGTGGACTGTGGCTGCTCAGCATGAGTGTTATTGATGGCCTGGTGTGTACAGTTAAGGCTGTTGCATCATTTCTCGTCGGTTTACAGCAGCTGAACTTGAGAGGTTGTGCACTGAGACGGCACACCGTCTATCACTGACTTCTGCTTCCTGCTTCCGCGCTGGCCTGTCTGTGAGCTTGAGTTATCACCAAAGCTGCCAGAAACACACCTCTTCCAGTTTTGCCCTTTAAACTCACTTCTGAGTGGATTTAATGCGGAACAGAGTCTATCTAACAAAAATGTGACTGACAGTGTCCAGGGCGTCATTTATTCTGCACACGTAATACGATCCTCAGGAGAGCACTTGCTCTGATAGAAAATCTGTTCATAAAAAGTTTCACTGTGTTTTCATAAAATACAAGAAAAAATGACCCACTGATTTGCTGTTGAACTCTGATTGACTTTTGGAATTTGCATGTATAATTAAAAAAAGAAATCACTGCCAAACCTTTCCCATTTGACAGTCCACTGTGTCTTCCCCTGGTTTCAGGCATGGTGTTGTCTGCACTGGTGCGTGTGTTGCCTCTCTTTTTCGTGTTTTCCTTGCTCCAGGCTTGGCTGCAGGGCTTTCCAAGTGCTGGGGTCACCATTAATAACAAATGCCACCTTCTGTCATGACCTAAAGCATCATTAGACACACAAAAGCCAACAAGTCCAAAGCATGCACTAAACCCTAAAAACACAGTTCCTTATCTATAGTGCTGTGACTTAGATTCTAAATTTCCTAAATAAGTGGTTCCCACTTTTTTCCTCTCATGCTTTTTTTTAATGACACATTTTTAGACAAATACATCAGCTGTGGTTCTACACACATCTCCACCATTAGATTATGATCAAACATAAGATGTGTTGTTAACTGCCAGTAAAAGCTAGAAATGAACCTACACTGTTTCTCCACTAACTTTTGCATTACCCATGTGCAGGTTAAAGAAAATGGTGAAAAGGTTTTCTTTGTAATGAAATGTAGTATTTCTAGTGGCAGATTTTTGTGAAATATTGGAATCCGATCGGAATTCTGAAACGGCCTGTGGAAACCCATTCGATCACTCGGGAAGAGGATGCAGACTCTGCAAAGAACAATATACTCTGCATGATGGACCTCATTATAACAAAATCAAATCGGGTGCTATGATCTTACGATAAAATTATTCTACTGCCTTTTCCTCTCATTTAAAAACAGTTATATACTGATTTTGATCAGATTTTGATTTTCTGTCTCTTCCCTTTGTTCTTGTCTTTCAGATCGTTGATCAAGGAAAGAATGCAAAGAGTTATCACTACATCCTTGCTAACTTGGTAAGAAATTATGCCTCAGAAAACAGTTCATATATAATCTATTTGGATTCCTTTTATTTTTATTTTTCCAACTTGGCTACATACTTGTTCATATATTTTCATATGTTTTAGTTTCAGACAGACAGGGTTAACCAATGTGTCTGTTTCTGACAATTAGCGTTAAACTATCAGCATTTTACGTCTCCTCATTTTATGTTCCACTTGAATTATTCTTTTTTATGTCAAATATCATCAGTTCAGTTGTAGGCAAGTAGTAGTAGTGCAAGACAAAAAGCTGGGAACATTGTCAGTCACAGAAAAAGGTTACTCAGCAATTCTGTAAGTTACAGCCCTTAGGTCCCCTCACTGGTCACTCTCAGTGCAAATGCTATATGGACCACCTTAGCACTCACTAAATGTGCCCATATGAAGACTAAAGTGACACCAGCAGAAGCTGTGGAAATAACCACATTAATATGCAGCTGCTGGCAGGAACATCTTCTCTCAGTTGGGGTTTTAGATTGGCTCTTTCTCTTTTGTCTGGCCAGTTTGCCAGATTTAATTTGAAACTATGAGGACCAGACGGTACAAATGGCTGATCAGCAAAGTGGCTGCAATCATTTATAATGAGTCCACTAAGAGCCCTGTGCAAAAAAAATAGATAAGTCAAATAACAAAGAAAACAGTTTTTTTTTAGGTTTGTACCTATTCACTTGTCTGTGTATTCGTCTGCCCGTGTATGAATCATATGGACATTGCTTGAATTGCATTACGCAGTTAGATGTGGTAACAATATCTGATGGAAACCACCCCCCACCCCCCATGTCCAGTCTTAGCAAAGACTAGTTTCTATAGTAACCTCCTCTGTTCAGTGCTTGGCATTAGCTCATTTACAGAGCAGTGAAAAGATACTAGTCTTTTCAGCTGAGAAGCATGGACACCTGGTCAAATAAAGCTACATTAGGAAGGCCGGCTTGACTTTGGACTGCCAGATCTTTCAGAATACAGAACTTGTGGCTATTTAAGAGCAAACCAACGGTATTTCTCAGTATTTGTTTTGACTTTGTGGCTACAGAAGATTAAAGGAAGTGAATGCGGTGAATTCTTCAAACATGGACATATATAGGCAAAGCTTCACACACCATGAGGCAAGTAATGTCAGAGCAGAGAACAAAGAAATATAATAAACACTGTCAAAAGACTGGTAAGCCAGTTGTAGAGGGACACCTTTTGTTCTCATCAGTCATGACTTTGCTTTTCCTGTAAAAAGTCGAGACAAATCATCTTCACTGCTCCCCTAGCCGTTGCCACTTATCTGCCTCTTCCTCTTCCTGCACTAGCAACAGGCAACCTACTGGGAGGATGAGACTGGATATCCATTACTCTCAAAAGAACAGCCTCTAAAAAAATCCAGGAAAGGAAAAGAAACTAAAAGAAGACAGCATTGTAGGAAATCCTTTCTCCTTGTGTTCCATTTTGTGAGGAACACACTCTGCCTTTTTCCCACTGGCCTGTAACATTTCAATCTGAACTGCTCCTGGACGTTGTCTTTTTTTATATCATAATTCTATTTCCTCAGGAAAGACTGTAAAGAAGTCTGTTCAAAGGGATAACCTGTGAGCAAGAAAGTTGGAATATTTTTCCTTTTCTTTTTCTTTCGTGCCTATGCAATTGACCTTTTTATTTCTGATGGTTAAGCCACATCTGGCCAAAAGATTTGGTGAAAAAAGCATTCCAATAAAGAATACAGCCAGTTTGAATGCTTCTCATGTTCTAAACTATTCAACTATAAACTTACAGCTTTAACTGTCCTTTATCCTTCCTTTTTTTCTGATTGTGTGGTGAAATAGAAAATGCAGTGATTACCTCAACACATTAGGAGTAGAAGTGGCTTTGTAAGAAAGTGTCATGAGAAGTCCTTGCACCTCTCAGCAGTCCCTGAGGTCGAGAATCACAGAATCACAGTTGGGAAAGGCTGCTGCGAATGATAAAACAGAAGCTTCTGCTATCCAAATCGACACGGCTCTGACCGTGGATATGTAATACAAGATGTGTTCCGCTGACACAATGTTTAATAGGCGTGAAATTGCTTAAATGGCACATCTTTGTGTCTGCATCTGATTTTTATGCCGTGCGGGTGACAGCTGTGGTCAGAGGTATGGTGTTTTTGTTGTATGTACCCCTATTCTTACCTACATTCATACTTATCTCAAGGGAACAGGGTCCCTTCACATTCCCTTAGGATGTTTTGGATGTTTGGACACATGGATAGCTGAGTCATTGGTTTTTGTCAGAATCCAAATGTTACTGTTATGAGCGTGTGTCTGTATTTCATTCTTGTGAATTGATAATGTCACACCTGGATTTTGATGTACACAGATGAAAGATCACTTTTGACCCTACAGGAATTCAATGATGGCTGTTTTGAAATGGAAATCTTTCTCTCTTTTTGACAGTTAGGATCAGGTGTCTATCGGCAGAAATCTTTATGATTTATCTTTTATTATTCCACTTTCATAACCGTTTCTTAATCATGATACTGTTTCATCCTTACGTCTGCCATCTTGTCTGTCTTAGGGATTCCTGGACATTGACCTGACAGATCTTAGGAATGGCGGTGCCAACATAACTGGCTTCCAACTTGTCAACAACTCTGAACCAAGTGTGAGCCGCATCGTCCAGCAGTGGATGGAGTTTGATAACAAAGACTCCAAGATGAGCAAGGCTGGACTCCAAGTAAATTTATTTCACTTTATACTACTACATTCCTTTTCTTTTCTCTTATCAATATTCTCTTTCAAAATTTGTAAGAGTGAATGAGCTATGAAGCAGCTTAGCAACATGAAAAAGACTTTAGTTAGTTTGTTTGTTTGTTTGTTTGATGTAATTTTCTTCATAATTGTTACTTCCCACTGTCAGATCATTTCTAACTGTGAGCAACCTGTTGAAAAGATTATTGAAAAGAGTAGGATAAATAAGTAATTTTTGGAAACAAGAGATTCAAATCAGGGATTTCTGCTGTTAAATGTTTATAGATTTGTACTGTCCAAACAACAAAACTTATTCCTGATGCAACCACTTGTATGTCTGTAAAGTCAAGATGTCCTTAGAAAAAAGTACCAGTATTGTAAATCACACATTTTAAAAAACTCAAATAAGTTTGTCCTTGTTTTAAAAACAGTGCAAAGTCATAAAACAATGTGAAAAGTGGAAAATTGCAGATGCATTTAATATTTAAGCCCTAAAAAGCCATATTCCCTCATTTCTGCCTTAATTATCAAAGGTTTTATCATTCTTGAGTTTAAATGATCTCTCTTCCTGCAGTACACAGGTGCTCTGACATATGATGGGGTGAAAGTCATGTCCACGGCCTTCCAGAATTTAAGGAGACAGAGGATAGACATCTCTCGCCGGGGCAACGCAGGAGAGTGTCTCGCCAACCCGCCAGCCCCATGGGGACAAGGCATCGACATTCAGAGAGCCTTGCAGCAGGTCTGCAAATACAAACACAGACACCAAAGTGCACATGCACACACCCGTGCGTGACCAGACCGAGCACAGACACACACAAAATTCTTGACTGGCACATTGGCTAACAGCTCCTGAGTTGGGGCTGGCTGAACAAATTAGGTCTCATTCTGTCGCGTAAAGTTCACATTAAGTCACACGAGAGCTCCCCGATATCAATTGTGACATCACAACTAGTAAACAAAACCTGTGGGCAATATTGCTAAACCATGATCGTCATGGAATATGACATCAGCAATTGAGTTGCTGAGAAATGAAAATTGAGAAATGTAGTATTGGGCAATGGAAATGGTAATGCTTGCCAAGCTGTGACGCTTGCGCTTTTGCATGTATTCAACTCAAGGCTCCTCTGCAGAGTGGCTGTGCAGAGACCTGCTCAGAGTCAATCTAGCCATCTGCCCGCGGACAGACTGAAGATTGAAGCAGTGCTCGCTCAATTAATTCCATCATGCGGCCAAGACAAACACACCGCAATGTACACATGCACACTCACCATCTGTCACTCACCTCCGCATGGACCTGAGCTCGGTGGAGATTCACAAATGGATGCAATGCAAACACGTGCAAGCCATTCTCAACGTGTATTGCATTGTAAAAGTGACATACAAATCCCTGCGAGTAACACAGAAATGAGGAAAAAGGAATACCAATGTACAGAAAGCAGTCCAGTACCCAAAACCATCTTCCAGGAAAGGTGGATTCTGTAACTCTGTTATGGTTCTGTTAATCTCTGGTGCTGTTTGCAGGTCCGTATTGATGGATTAACGGGTCACATTCAGTTCAATGAGAAAGGCCGAAGAACCAACTACACTGTTAGTGTCATGGAGTTGGCCCCCTCTGGACCTAAGAAGGTAAACCTAAAGGGCCACTGTGAGATATTCATTTTCACTTATTCAGAAACCATGTTCCATTTAAATAACGCAACGGCCCAAATGATGCATATTGTAAAAATGACACGTACAGATTCTTTGACCCTGTCTGGTGGTAAAAACATGCTATTTGAAAGGAGGATTAAGAGCCACTTCGCAAGCAACCTTTTTTATACTGGAAGTGAAGTTAGTAAGATTTTACAGCAGCTCTCAAGTGATCACCCGATTATTTATGCACATACTTTAACTTTGAGAGTACACTTAGAATCCAGCCATGTCTGAAGTGGGAGTGAAACTCTACAGCTTGAAAACAAGAAATACAGAAGAGGCTACATGGTAGTTTACGCACCACTGAAAGGAAAAAGGAAATCCTTGCAACCAAACGGTGCATTCATAATATCAAGCTCTGTTCCTCTTAATATTTAAATCCAGTTTAATAGCTAGTAAGTGCCAGTCCCAGTTTGTGACTCCTTTTCTTTGTCCCAGGTTGGCTACTGGAATGAAGATGAGAAGTATGTGACTACGGCCAGCCTCATAAGGGGCAGCAATGAAACTTATGGACTGTTGAATAGGACTTACATAGTCACTACAATCTTGGTAAGTCTGAAGAGAAGAAAAGAAAAGAAAATATAAGTCATTTGTGTGGAATTTTGAGTCAGATAGCAGAAACTCAAGCAGAAAAAGTCATAGTAACATTTTTCATTTTCTTTTAAAATCCAGTAAAATTCTCTCTCAGAAAAATGTGTCTGTTTCCCCCTCCTTCTCTCCTGCTCTGAATATATTTTGTCTTTGTGACAGGAGCCTGATCAGAATGATGAATAGTAGTAACAAGATTAGTCTCATAAACATTTGCTCCTTGCTCGACATTTACTGATGACTTGTAGAGTTATTGTTTTTCATATTAACTCCACATTTAATCTCAAATAGCATATTATTAGCACAAACAAATCAAACTTGAAGCAACCTCTTGTCATTCCAGAATTACCCGTGCAGCTTTGGAGCGGTTAAAGGAACAAAATACATTAAAAGCTCAGCGCCCTTCTGAGGCTGTAACATGTCAGCATGTCCTTCATTTCTCTCTCCTTTATTTGGCTGAGATGTCACCACTAGGCTCTTTGACACGATTTGGCAGATGAGGCTGTATTAAATGTGCTGGCCTATATGTCAGATCCAGTGGTGCTGAGTCCTGTAGGGTGGATTTGAGAAAATGGTATCACAGATTCAATCTGACTAACTGTCATGTCAGCTATAGGTTGAAATGACATTTTCTCCAAAGAGCTAGGAATACCTGACAATACATGGCAGGAATATGTTAGAGGATGATAATGGTGTAAGTACATTAGATCCCAGAGGGCACGAGATGTTCTTAGAGTGTATAGCTTGCTGAAAGTCTTTATTTCACAGTATGTCTGTCAGCTTTTTGGACATCTGGCTCCTCCCCCCCTAAGGGAGGCCATGTGTTTTCTGTCTCATCCAGTGTGTGAAAGAAATTTATTTTAAAGAATAAACATAGTCAATTCAAACCTCTGCAGTTTTTGTGTAGCATCAGCTGAGCACATCTGGACTAAAAAACGTGGCTGTATAATCAATGAGGAAAAAAATCTAAACATGGTCACTATAGCCTCCAGTTTTTATTTGGATGTTTCCTATGTTATCTACGTCCTATTTCTGTGGTGCACAAGCATGTCTGCTACATTTGAGCTGTTTAGCACTGCATGGTGTTTGTTTTCTTATACATTATACATTTTCAATAGGTGTCAGGCCTGGACTGATGGCATTTTCCCTCTGAAATAAAATATTGCTTCAGAAAAAAAGATTGGATGGGATCATATCTCTCAAAGATTTTCACCCACGCAACAAGCCCAGTTATACTTTTTACACTACTTGCTGATACATGGGAAAATAACATAGAGGTTTATTTTTCATCAAATAGCCAATATATGGTCTGATCTAACCACAATCATAGATTTCAGTCATGATACAAAAGAAATTCAAAAGAATTTTAAATTTGAAAAAGACTGAAAGGGGTTTAGACTTTCTTGTTATTGAAAATAAAAAAGCAATTCACATGCTTTTTAATTCTATGTGCTGCAATTTCTTCCAGTTCAATCGGTTTTTCTTGTAGTGTTTTTGATGTGCAGAAATGTGTGTTTATGTGTTATATTTCACATGGTTGATTGTTTATGTTTATGTGTTTAGCAGACGCTTTTATCCAAAGCGACTTACAAAGTAGGGGGCCACCGAGAGTTGAACTGGTTACCTCTTGATCTCCAATCCAAAACACAACCACAGAGCTATCCCCAGTTTATTTGTTTGATTGACAGCAGATCGCCATGAATTTGTTCAAGGTCAATGAGAGCCGGTCCCTGAGGGACTGTCTGCACGCCTCACAGTGTGTGTGTGTGAGTCTGCTCACAGTGTGTGTGTGTGTGTGAGTCTGCTCACATGTGTCTGTGTTGGTCTTCAGAAGCATACGCTGTGTAAGCGCTGCACACCAGACCTCTGCCTCCACTCTCTGCCCTCCCTGCCGTTTTCATACCAGCGAATCTGGGATTCTGTGAGGCAGTTATCTTAATCTCAACCATAAAGATCGACATAATGCACATTACTGTAACAGACCCTGTTTAAACACAGAATTTGTTCACTCCACCAAATTCTAAGCTTAGATAAAAACACATGTAGCATCATGTTGGAAGAGCAGCCTTTCAAGTGCTGGTGGATAGTTCAGGGTGTCAAAGGTAACTGTCATTCTGTATGAAATCCATTTTTCCACAAGGCGAGCATGGCCCCAGGTGTTGTGTCAGGTGTAATTTCTCTGCCCAGTAATCAGTGTGAGAAGCACAAATACTGGTTTAACAAGAACATCGGTCTGGCCTTGGAACAGGTCAGCCAGGCTTGAAAGTGCTGTCAGCTTTGTGCACATGGCTCAGAAACACAGAAACACTTGTGCACACGCATGTCTCTGCCGTTCAGATCCGACATCTCACATTTATTTTAATACATTTTTATGATTTCTTGCTATGAATTACATCATATAAAAAATACGTCATTGTGGTAAAGTCATCCTGATCATCATACTTGGACACGTTTGTGTTTGAAGAGCATACCATACCCTCAAGATCCAAAATGTGATAATATGTTTGAATTACACATTATCATCTTTTCTTCTTATCTTTTCCAAACAGTTATATTTTGGTGTATTTTTTTCTGAAGACTCAACTATGACAACAAATGCCCAGAACTCTTAAGATTTTAAATTCCACTCTTGAAAATGTTGTTTGTCTTATCCAATTTCTTCATTATTTAAAAAAAATAAACTGGAAGAAATGTTTAGGTGTGAGGTGATAAAAAACTAAACTAACAGTCGCAAATGCCTCTGTTCATGCCTGTCCTCCGTCCAACAGGAGTCTCCCTATGTGATGCTGAAGAATAACCATGAGAATCTCCATGGGAACGATAGGTATGAGGGCTACATAGTTGAGCTGGCCGCTGAGATAGCCAAGCATGTGGGCTACCAGTACAAACTGAAGATTGTCTCAGATGGAAAGTATGGAGCCAGAGACCCCGAAACTAAGATGTGGAATGGCATGGTTGGCGAGCTTGTTTATGGAGTAAGTACACAGCATTTTTTTAGATCAAGGAAATGCTGCTGACATTAGCAGCTGGATAATGTTTGTTTTTTGTCAGGGAGGGGCACTAAGATATTTAATGAGAAAGTTTCTGTATAGGCTGGAGCAATGCAAACTCTGACAAGTCTATCTGCTAATGGAAATGCTCAGATCTGGTACTGATTCCTTGTCTCATTCAATATGTCAGAGATAGTATAAGAGGATTCTGTCTGTGGAAGCAAGATTAAAAAGTTGATGTTAAAAAACAAACTCTAATTTTACATTAGCAGTCACACATACTGATGTCTTTGTGTTCACCCACAGCTGTTTTCTTTACAGGTTACATTTCCATTCCATACAATCTGATCTTTTGTACTGGCAGTTTTCAGCCTCATTAGTCCTCATTGTGCAGCTTTTCATAGTTCTAGTGTTTACCGCGTGCTGTAAACTGGAAAAGGCAGGGAAAAAAGCAACCATTAAAGGTCATTTTTTAATACTGTGAGGTGAAAGCCTAAGCAGACTAAACTCCAATGATTTTTTTCTCATGTTTTAGAATCCATTTCTGCCGATTTTGCACCTTAAGCATGACATGACATCCTTTTTTCCAGAGGTGCATTTCTTACGGGCGCAGCGGCAGATTTCTTTCACATGCCTTTTCGTGTTTTCTCTTCTCTTTCAGAAAGCAGATCTGGCTGTGGCTCCTCTCACCATCACTCTTGTCCGTGAAGAAGTCATTGACTTCTCCAAACCCTTCATGTCTCTGGGTATTTCCATCATGATCAAGAAACCCACCAAGTCCAAACCGGGAGTGTTTTCATTCCTGGACCCGCTGGCCTACGAGATCTGGATGTGCATTGTGTTCGCCTACATCGGCGTCAGCGTCGTCCTCTTCCTGGTCAGTCGATTCAGCCCTTACGAGTGGCACGCCGAGGACTACGAGGAGGGAGGCGAGCCGCAGACCCCGACCCAAGCGTCGGCCTCCAACGGCATGCAGCAGAGCCAGACGTCCACGCAGCAGAACGCCAACCAGCAGAGTCCCGAACAGACCAACGAGTTCGGCATCTTCAATTCCCTTTGGTTTTCACTCGGAGCATTCATGCAGCAGGGCTGTGACATCTCGCCACGGTAGGAGACTCTAGCAAACAGCAAATTTAATCGATTTTTAAAAAAACCATAAATAAGTCATTTGTATATTTGCATTTGATTTCAGGTACTCAGTAAGTGGTGGTAATCGTTACCACATCCTCCACAGCTCAGCTGCGGTTGTTTTGATGGATTTATATTTTAAAGCTATTTGGTAAATCATAAAAGTTGGATGAGGAGCAGCAGTGGGAGTTATGTTGTAATTTAGCCATGCTTCAAAATCCAGTGTAGCTATTAGTCTGTCTCACATTGTCTGTCGAGTGATTAGTCACTTTGTTTATATTTGGGTCAAAAATTAAATCCATATCAGACGGTCGGAAAAGCCTCCTGAAAGATCCTGGTGTTAGGGCTGAGTGGTGCGTGTCGGCTCCCATCAAGTGCTCTCATGAGCTTGTGGTACAAAACCGTTCTCCAAAGGTCACCAATTAAAAATCTCATTAAGTGTTCGAAATTAGAGACACCGAGGTCGACTTTTTGAGTGTTCCAGAGGGATTAAAAGGAAAAGATGAAGAGATAAATGTCAGTGTTATCAATGTAGGCTGACTCTGAACCCGCAGAGGCCGGTCAGGTTGTGTGCGGGCTCGTCCTCTTATCTCTTTAAACACTGAGTTACATTTGCAGTCTGCTGTAGCATATATGCGATGTTGTAAATACTGGAAGACGGGTAAAGGCTGATACTGTTGCTTTGAAGCGTGTTTCCAAGTCAGCAGTCATGTGCACCCAAACACAGCATTGAAGGCAAATAAAAAATAGTATTTTGTTTGAGTTATGCAAAATGATCAGTCGTGTATCTGTGCAGGACATAAGAATCTGGAGCCAGAGGACTCTGTCTGAAAGAATCAGAGGATATTTAACTTGACCCTTTTCAACGTTCCGATGCTCTCAAACTGCTCTGATAAATATTTCTGCCTTGCTTGCTAAACATAAAGGCGCAACATTCAACTTTCAATGCAGATTTAACAAAACCGTTCCCAAACTTTAATTCCTCGGAAAGATATGAGAGTAGATGGAATATAAACGGCACAGCGGAGAAAATAGCTGCGCATACAAACTACACATAGGTACTGAGTATAGTACAAGATGTAGGGGGTGAGCCCATCCTCCCACATGCTCGCACCTGACATTTGCTGCTTCCTGCCCGGAGACTCTGCTGTGCTTCATGCAGGATTGAGCCTATTGTTCAAATGCTCTCCTATGGGTGGAAAATGCATCCGCAATAACTATTGATTTCTTTGTATGCCACACAAGGAAGAGAATGTCACTGTGCCTCCTTGAATTGTCTGCTCGCTGTGGCTTCTCTCTGAATGCACAAACTCGTTTCCTTTTTTCTGTTTTTCTATGTGTGTGTGTTTCTGTGTCTGTACTGTATGTGTTCCTGCATATTTTTAGCTATTTGTATTTGTTTTATCTTGCGATCGGGCAATTGATCACAGATGATGACAGACCTTTCACTGACTGTGAGTTAAAGAACAAAATAGATCATTTTTGTACTTGAGGCAATTCTGATCCCATCTCTGAGATCAAACATAACCTGTTTTTATGACATATTTTTACCTTCTTAATAGCATTTACATAAAGTTTAGTTGCAGCTATGAAAATTCTCAATAGCATGAGTAAAGTTCGAATTTAATAAACTCAAATTTACTGATATATCTCTCTCTCTTACCGTGTCCATTCAATTAGTGTGACGCGACTTGAGAACCAGTATGGCAGAACTAAGACTTGAGAAAACACCACCTCCGGTAGTGATCATTACGGTGGCATGTGCATGGTGTCTTGAAAACCAACACAGTGAATGTTTCACCCTGCTGAATACCGCCCTTAAAGAAACATTCTTCCCTTGAAAATTTGGGTGACCTAGTTGCTGTAGTTAGCGCGGCACAGATTCGCACACAGGAGGACATGCATGCAGATGAATGTCCTTAAGCACTGTGAGATCCTTGCAGGCTTCAAAAGGACACGGAATGTTATTCCTTGTGTCTTGTCAAGTGAAAACGGTACCGCTCAAAGCCTTACATATTCAGTTTCAAAAGGTTTCAAATGTCAAATGATTCCAGTGTGCCGTGCTTAAAAACTTTTCTTTGAAAGGTTCTTAGGGTAACTTTTTCTTCCAGCTTTTGAAACATTTACAACCTGTGAAATGCAAAATATTGTAGAAATAAAAAAAGAGCATATAGGAGTACATTTGCATAAATCAAATCAAATAATGATGTATTCTTATTATCATTATAGAAATCAAAGGTTTGAAAACAGTGTTATATTTCTTTATTTTTCTTACATATTATTTTCCAACAACCCATGTTTGAAATAATGTTTAAATATGATCACACACACACACACATATATATATATATATATTTATATATGTGTGTGTGTGCGTGCGTGAACTAATCCACTGTTAAAAATGTATTGAAATTTAAACTGCTTATAAAACCAAAAATACATTAAAAAATAGAAGACAAAAAGAACAACAATACTTTTATCATCTTAAATGACCAGCAGAACAACCAAAATTGTAATCCCTTGACACCTCTGTTGGATAGATACTATATAAACACATTTATGAGCAGATAAAAAAGTAAAAGATGTCAAAGCTATTCCTCCTCCATACCTGTTGACATTTTTAACAGGTACTATAAACCATCCATTATGGTGGCCTTATCAGTAAAAGGTGAGGACAGATCCTACTATGGACGCTTTCGGTGCTGATTTCAGCAGTTCGGCGCACTTCACTCTCCGTGCTTCTCCATTTAATCAGAGACACAAGGTCACGCAACAACGCTGATGATCCACTGGGTGTTGTATTAATCAGTGAGCGTGTTTCGCTTTCTGTCTGCCTACATCTGCATATAACGTAAATCTATTAGAGGTTAGTGCTTAATGCCATTTCCATTGTCCACATGCAACAGTCTAATGGTGCCTCTGCAAAAAGGTTTACATGCAGCCCTCGTGTTTACGCCGCAATGGTCATACATGACGTGATGCATTAGTGTGTACAGTACATCGCCGTGTGTGTGTGTGTGGGTGTGTGTGTTAGCCACTCTGCTCCTTGTTCTATTTATTCTCCATGAGACCTTGTTTACTGTGCTCTTTCTAAATGTCACAACTGTCACTCAAGTCTTCCCATAAGCCACAGTCTGTGCTTTCGGGCCCTCCTTTTGTTTATCTCTGAAGACAGGTGGACTCAGACTGTTCCCAGCTCCCAAACATACACACTTAAAGCTGTTCCGTTCATCCACTCATGCAGCCATTGGCTTCCTTCCCCAGTCACCTCTTTGTAGTCCACCTTCCTCTCATCTTCTGGGCTTTCCATCTTTTTTTATATATTTCTTCCCCTTAGTGTGGTTCTGTTCAGTTTAGAATTTGTGACATGTAGCCTCTTTCATTTTGACAACAACATCTGTAGTTACCTCCTGATCCCAAAATGGTAAATTTACACTTTATCAACTTCTTTTTACATCCAACTTCTTGATTTGTTTCTGAAAGGCCTTGGTGTTTTTGTGACTAAATTCATTGTACATTAGATATTTTCAAATGAGGACCGTATGGAAGTGTGGTGGTTTTGGCTTCCAGCCCCAAAAAGATCCATGTTATCTGAATTTGAGACTCTAAGTTGGCCTTAGTTCTCTGCTTTGTCTTCCTGTGGCCCTGTAATGGACTGTAATGGTGACCTGTTCAGGATGTGCTCTGCCTTTTGCTGAGATAGGCCTCCCACAACCCTGCTTGGATGGATGGACGAGCAAGTGCGCATATCTCCACTGACTTTGAGACGGCGTTCACATTGCTACAGTGAATGTTGCTCACATGAGGTCAATGTAATGACAACCTTATGTTTACTGAAAATGGCTGCAGCGTAGTTTGTTTCTCACAGCTGGTGTGGAGGCTCAAATCTGATAATATGGGAGCCAAAATTAAAATAACAACATTACTCAGATGTAGACACTCTTGGAATAAAGCTGACTAAGGACTGTTTTATTAATGAGGTCACCCTCTGGTGACGATCAGTTCTACCTCCAGCAATCTGCGTTGTCTTCAGTTGGCATTTGAAGCTAAACAGCGCATAATGGAGGTTGTTCTGTTATCCTCATATGTCCTGCCATAACCTCTCATTTACCAGTCCCAGTCAATCCTCTCCATCCCATTTTCTCCCGATCCAAAATGGAGGGGCTTAGAATAGAAATTCTTACAAAACGCACCCCTGCGTCAGCACAATACCCCCCACTGTGTATTGGCTACCAGCCCAATTCAAAAGCGATTTAAAAATGTTATTGCTCACATGTAAGGTCTTGAAAAAAATGGCTCCAGTTTATGGATTCAAACTGTTGAACAGCTCTTCTAGTTCCGGGTGTCTTCAATTTTCAGTTCAACCTATCTGTATATACTCTGCTCCCAATTCCAAGCCAGAAGTGACTAGACTTTAAGTTTCTAAACTTTTGAGCAGCATTCCCCAATTCATCATTAACAGAATTAATTCATTTATCTAATTGATTTAAAAAAAACTCTGTTTTAAGGGAGTGTTTTCCCCAGGTTCTTATGTTTTGCTTTTGGTCATGTGCTCAATTTGATTTGATTTGTTCTCTCAGTTCCATGTGTGAAGTTATATGTGGCTCATCACTAAAAATATAAATGTATGTTAATATGTGGCCTGACATCATGGTAGCATCATGTTGCACCAGTTGACAACTGAATGATCACTACACTCTTAAAGTCCAGGCTTTAGTTTTAAGAGGTTCCACTTGTCTCACATTTCAGATTTTCTTTTTATTAACATTTAATTTGGCACTTGGTCTTTTGGATTAGATGAAGTCATAAATGTTTTTTCATGTTCTATCTTTTGTCCTCTATTCAAATGATGAAAACTCCTTTTACCTTGGTTTCTCTGAATGTGCTCCATGTTCATTAGTACTGTCTCATAGAAGGTTGAGTATTTGTCAATTTCTTCTCTCCTTCAGTCTTCTTGTTTTTTTTTGTCTGTGTCTGGCATGG